GGGCGCACTGATGCACAACTATTCCTAGTGATACGGGGGAGGGGGTGATTTGGAAAATGACTGTGACTGTTGTTTTGCAATGCACTGCAAGGTTAGTTTACAGGTTTGAAATAACAGAACTCGGGAAGGTGAGTAGCATGCTAACTTAATCCAAGTTTCTTTTCCATTGAATGACATCAGCCGAAGAGTCTAGAGTCTAGAATGTTGGCGTCCGGGCTGATGTGCAATGTTTACCTGCTACAATGACTGTTACTCATTTCACTCGGCTGAATTATTGACTACGTTGATTTAAGTTTGAGTGGCCGCATAAATAAGGCGCCCAGGGGTGAAGTGCCACAAACATTTACCAGTCTACCTCAGAAGGCAAGACTACAGAAACACACAAAGACAAAAGGCATTTTGAAACAAGATTAACACTTAGAATTAGTCATCTGGCACAGACAGAAAGAATGACTATTTCTAACTGTAAGTGAGTAGACATGCCATGGAGTCCTTTTCTGGAAGGTCTTACAGGTCTGGAGCAATCTTTAGTACGTAGAAGGACTTTTCACAGACAAAACTACAGATTTTTAAATAAAACTCTCATGTATGAAACTGGGACTAATATGTGATTATAAATAAAAAGGAATTTAAACAAACCCTAGATGTCAGGATTGAGCCTTTCAGGTACTCTTTGGTGAAAGTCAAACATTTGAAAACTATCAATCTGATTTGAACATAGACATGTTAACTATGCTGAATACGTAACAGCCTCGCAGTGCTTCCTTAGGAGCCAGTGCCCCAACGAGGGTCTGCGCAAATTTTCTCAAGGGGCTCACTGTGCTGCAGACCAGCACTGGCAGGTTGGGAAATGGCCCAGACAAGCACAGGGATTTTCTTTTTTTTAAGATTAAAATCTAAAGTCCAGGAGAGATGCTCATGCTCAGATGAATCCTTCTCTGCTCTTTAAGTCTTCCAGAAGACATCTTGAAAATATCCTGGAAAATAATAAAATAGAACTATGAATATAATCGCTTAGGGTAGTAGAAACCAGGCATTAAGGTTAGGACGGCATCAAGGAAATTGCAGGAACACAAGGAAATGCTAGAAATAATTTTGGTCTTTTGCTACAATCTTCAGTGTTTTACATATATACATATATTTTAATACACTTTAAATATTTTAGGACGTTTATGCTATATATATATAAAACTTCACTAAACTAAGGAATAGTGTCCATTCAAAGGCAAATAATCATAGCCATCCTTTTAAACACTAAAAGGGAAATGAATTCTGGAATCAAGTTTGATCCTTTCCTTCTGTCCCGGTGGCACATTCTCCTCTGTATTCCGTCTTCCAGGCCCTGTACGGGAAATGGGGTTCTCGCTACTTTGGAGAGCTGTGCTTGGAAAGACAGAGGATGTGACTTAGAGTTGCCAAGGGAATAGAACAGGGTCCTTGTGTGGCTCTGTTCCCACCCCCACCCTCCACCCACTGGTGTCCACTCCTTCCCCTTCTTGAGTTTGAGGTTCAGCAGCCCAAAATTGGAGAGAGAGAGAGAGAGAGAGTGCATGCATGTGTGTGTTTGGGTGTGAAAGGACTGATAAAAGGACCAGCCAGACCAAATGAGAGGGGACTTCAGGAGGGGCGTCTGTTTAATCCTGCAAACAGGTCAGGCTTCAACTCACCATCAGCGGAGATCTCTTAGGCCTTCCTGTTGTCGTTCAGGGAAACATGCGGGTTCTCGCTTTCTCTTTTCTTCTCTTGGGTTCCCGGACAATCGGGCTTTGCAGGGTGTGTTTCCGTGTCCTGCCTACTCTCTCTCCCGGGCTCTGCCCTGCTGTCTTGGGATAATCCTAGTCTGAATTCTTCAGCTGCACCCCTCTCCTGCCCCCCAGCTCGGCTCCCCTTCCCTGCCTCCTCTCCCAGCGGCTCTGCCCCCTGTGTGCTTTCAGCCTCCCCTCCCTCTTGATCTGGCCAGGGCTGTGCGATCTTTTCTTCCAGGTCTGAAGGCTCCCCTGGAGCCTCGACCTCGGCCTCCGGCGCCCAAGTCCCTGTCACCTCCTCCACCGCTGGCGCCTGCTCCCTGCTCAGCGCTGCTTCCTCTGCAGCCGCCTTCTCTGCAGCTGCCCTTTTTCCTAGCAACTCATCCACTTTGTGCCAAGTTTCCTCCCCAGCAACATCTGAAAAGGCGGAGGCTGTATTTGCTTCTGTTTTGCCCTCGGCTGTCGTGGACTCTGCCAGCGCCTCCCTCTCGGCGACCGTTTCTGCCACTCCTCCTGCTCCGAGATCTTCCTCAGCCACAACTGCTGCTCGCAAGCTCCCCACGCGCTCTGCGTCCCCGTCCTTCATCACCCCTGTCCCCAGAGGGCACTCTTTATCCGCCTCCTCCCCGAGGTGCGCATCCGTCACTTCTTCACTCAACGTGTCTGCCGTCGTGGCATCTCCCTGGGGCACATCTTGGGCCCTCGCCGTGACCGCCACTCCGCCTGGCCCCTGCGAAGGCCCTTCTTCATCCGTCCCCTCC